CCCTGCTTAAATTGCTGATCTGTGGGTATTACATTTGCATGATACCAAGTGCATTTTGTATCTCAAATTAATGATGTAAGCAGCCATTCTCTTGATATTTATGAAATGTTCTGAATGAAATAGATCAAGGAGGAATAACTTCAAGTTTGTTTTCTGTCGTCTGCTATTTTGCCTAACTGTGGTATTCATACAGATTTGGATTAAAAGCATGCACCCATAAGACATACCTGCAATATAATAAGGTGTGTGTTAAGATAAATTCACTGTCCAGCCTTCAGGCTCGGGCCGGGGAACATAAACTAGCATAGAGGGTACATCAACCCATGTCCCTCTCGAGACTTGTGGATAACTTATAATATTAGAGACAGGTAAGTCACTACATTGCCTCAAATCAGCATACAGGCAGGAAGTCACTATGTATCAGAATAAAAAAGTGTCAAAGTGAGTGAGTGAGTGAGTGAGTGAGTGAGTGAGTGAGTGAGTGTTTAACGTCACTCTCAACAGTATTTCAGTTACATCACAGAAAGTCGGCTTAATGAGGGGGAAAGAGATGCTGGTGTCAGACGTCTGCTACTCTGGTGAAACCCACGCACATGGGTAAGGAGCTGATCATTCTCCATTGAATTAAGTAGAGGTAGAATTAATCACATGTTCAATCACAGACAGATATCTGTGGCTGGCTCATCTGTAAAATGAGACAAAGATTGTGTTTGCCCTGAACACAAGTAAAACCAGGAGTTACAACACTACAACACATAGTTAGGCTAAATCACTGTAGCCGGTCATGAACCTAGGCCAAACAAACCAGTGACTGATAATATGAGCCCAATGTCAGTCAAAATCCATGTCACCCAAACTCACTCAGCCACACCTAATGGATAAACATCCTCGATGTCAACCACCTAGGCAGGAGAGACCTAGTAATGCAGCCTTTGTGACAGCCTGATACTAGTCACCTCAAGACTTATATATATAAATGACATAAAATACATATATGGAGTGCGTCCTCACAGATATATATTCATGTTATGAAACACACACGACACCAGCATGAGCTTCTAGTAATATGTCCTAAGTCCAAGGATATAAATAATAATAATAAAAATAATTGCTAAATGAGCAAATAGAAACAAATAATAAATAAAGAGACAAAATACTCCAACAACATCTGTGACATCCATATAGACATATACCAATATATATTCCTTAAGCAAATAGATTTCCAAACCAAACAAAATATGAATATTAACAGATCAAATGAAATGTTTTCAACTCAACCTGCAATACAGCATTTATACCCTCCATGAGGAAAACACACACTTAGAAAGCAGGTATCTTCCACCGGCTGCAGACGTCACAACGCGCATCAGGAAATATTTCTCCATGATGGCGAATGATGCAAGCTATTGTGACATCTGTGATTGTCATCTGGGATATCCAACTTTACAACTGACTGTTGGTACAGCCTGTGACAACTCACTCTCACACAGGACCAACTGATTGATGGGAAACATACACAATATGTCAAATGTTGGTGGTGCCAAGCTAAGCAGGATTCGGCATCTATCATTTACTGCATGGTAATAACACAAGATGTGATGATGTTGAAATGTTTTTGGTATATCTTAAGCAATGTGTGAAAGACATATTCATTCAAAATTGACATGGGATGTATATCATCTTCCTGTGATCTTAGTAATTATAGCACATTTATATCCATGTTGGAACCAGAGTGAGTGAGTGAGTTTGGTTTTACGCCGCTTTTAGCATTATTCCAGCAATATCACGGCGAGGGACACCAGAAATGGGCTTCACACATTGTACCCATGTCGGGATTCGAACCCGGGTCTTCGGCGTGACGAGCGAACGCTTTAACCACTAGGCTACCCGACCGCCCCGTTGGAACCAGAACTGAATACAGTAAATTACGTTTATAACAAACTTATAACGAACTGACGGATATAACAAACTGTTTCTTTGGTCCCAGGAATTTGCTGTTTATATGCTGTATACCTGCTTATAACGAACTACGGTTATAATGAACTAGAACTAGTGCTCCCATTGAGTTCGTTGTAACCGTAGTTTACTGTATATGCTTTTGGGATAAGTTGCTAATAAAACCTCACTGTAAATTTTGACCCATGAAGATTCGGGGTAGAATAGGTCTTCAGCAACCCATGCTTGCTGTGAAAGGCGACTATGCTTGTCGTGAGAGCCGACTGATGGGAGCAGGTGGTCAGACTCGATGACTTGGTTGATGCATGTCATCTTATCCCAATTGCACGGATTGATGCTCATGATGTCAATCACTGGATTGTCTGTTCCAAACTTGATTATTTACAGACCACCGCATATAGCTGGAATATTGCTGAGTGCGGCGTTAAACAACAAACAATCAATGTAAATTTAGAATATCCTTACATAATCTGAATGTCACTTTTTATTGAAGATCAGTAGAGTGCCATCACAGTGAGACGTTATGCAATAACAATGGAGATACTGAAAACGAATATCATTTACAGTGATAATAAATTTGAAATATTGACGATAGATGATATCAACTCATGAAATGTGAACGTAATAAAATCTGTTGCTATTTATTTGAAACATATGCTCAGCTTAAGAAATCAGTCAATGAAATACTCTGTATAAATGTATGGTCATGTGATCAAAAAACTAGTTTCAGTTGTATCATAGGCCATTTGGCCCAAAATGCTAAAACAACATGTCTGTCTGTCTCTCTGTCATGACTGTCTGTGTTAATAAACCATTATGAGAACTGACAGAATGCATGGTGGAATCTTGAACTGAACAAACTGGTTTCCTGGCAACGACTTTTGAAAAATGGAGTGAATGATGTATAAGTCTGCAGTCAGCAATATTCCAGCTTTATCCTGACGGTCTGTAAATAATCAAATCTGGACCTGGCAAACCAGTGACTGAAATTAGGAGCAATATCCCACGCTGTCACGATGGGATGACACACAGTTAACCAGGACAGACACCAAATCTGACACTCTGATCCCTTTTAGTCCCTACATAATGTATAAAAACAACTATTTTCCATGTGAAGTCTAAAATATCCAACATTAGCATAAAGGAAGCTGAGATGAGAGGACACAAGGTATGATAAGGGCACTTCCTGGATGTCGGAATGCACATAATAGGAAATGAGGAAGACTTTCACACACCTATGAATGTTGACATGTTTTCATGCCGATGAGAATTAGATTTTGTTTATTTCAACAAATACATGTTGGGATATACAACACTAAACTCATTGAGAAGGCCAAACTGTTGGGACGTACAACACTTAACTCATTGAGAAGGCCAAACTGTTGGAACGTACAACACTAAACTCATTGAGAAGGCCAAACTGTTGGAACGTACATCACTTAACAAATTGAGAAGGCCAAACTGTTGGGCCGTACAACACTTAACTCATTGAGAAGGCCAAACTGTGGGGATGTACAACACTTAACTCATTGAGAAGGCCAAACTGTTGGGATGTACAACACTTAACTCATTGAGAAGGCCAAACTGTGGGGATGTACAACACTTAACTCATTGAGAAGGCCAAACTGTGTCAAACAGGCTGTTTTAGAGGTTTTCAGGAAGTTTTTTTATGTAATACTTGAGCAGGAGCCAGTCTTTGAAACAAGCTAACATTCTTAGATGTAGATAAAAACCATGTCTGTATCAGGTAACCATGTGAAAGTGTGTCATATCTCAGTGGGTAGTACTATAAACCAGCATTAGTCTGGTCAAGTACAAGCAGCCACACACATGCATGCACATCGCTATGGAAGTGTGATAACCTTGAACCCAATTTCACCTCACATAACATAGGGGAATTATTCAGTCACTTGTTTACATAGCAGGGACATTATGCAATACTATGACTGGACACTCTTTACTAACATCCTCGTTGTATCAGACAATACAGCCGTGTTGAATATAAACAGTTTGAACAGCTGCACCTGATGCTTATAGTGTCAGGATGAGTTATGGTACTTACTGAGAATCATGTCTTCAACATTATCATTATACAATGTACATTTATATACCGCACTTATCCAGGTACGAGTAGCTCCTCAAATGCGGCCTTTTTGTTCCCGGACCATTGGATGCATGTGATGTGGCTGCAAGTATATCCTGGGGCAAGCATGTATGGCCATACACCATTTACCAGCTTACTAACAGAACAGCTAAATATAGTTGAACTCGCAGTAAACTCAGCCTGATTCACTAATTTTCCAGATGAACAAATGAAGTGTAAAGAATAATGATCCTTTGTATGCATGAAACATATCTGAAAGTGCTCGAGAGGTGGGGGGTCCCAACTAATGAAGTTCCACTGCACAAATAATTCCAAGGGATGTCATGATATATGAAATTGTTGTTCACATGAACCATAATTCATATTACCATGTGTTTGATTATATAACAAAACAATCACAACAATAGACCCTTTGGGATTGTTATAACCAATATTGCACAAAATAAGACTGAGATTTGTTATAACATATATTTCACAATATTAGATATTTAGGTTTGTTATAACCAATATTCCACCATCTTAGATCTTGGTATTGGTTATAACCAATATCTTATCATATTAGACTTAGGAAATGATCATAACCAATATTCGTCTTTGTAATTGGTCATAAATAATATTCCACCATTTTTGACTTTGGTATTGGTTATAACCAATATCTTACCAAACTAGACTTAAGAATTAGTCATAACCAATATTCCACCATATTACACTTACTAATTGGTCATAAATAATACCCCACCATATTAGACCTTGTGATTGGTCAAGACAAATAACTCACCATATTAGACCTTGGAATTGGTCACAGCCAAAATGTCCAAATATTTCCTAATATTTGACCTTAGGTGTTGGCCAAAACCCATGACTGTGGGTGGGATTCAATAGAACCTAAAAACTAAATATTCAACAGTATTAAACTTCATTATGTCCGGCACTGACTTACCACTTCCTTGTCCTCCTGGGTTTTTGGGATCAAGGTACAGTTGAGGACGAGGTACCCCATGTACTCTGTCTTGTGGTCCGACAGCTTCAGTCGCAGCTCAGTACATCTGTAGGCACAGAGAAAATGTCATAAGAAAACAGAAAAAAATCAGATCCAGACCGAAACTTTAATAGTAAAGTTGTAAAATCTAAAATCATCCAAAGGCTAATACCCCACTGGAAAGGAAAATACTCTAGTTGAAAGGCACGTACCCCATCGGAAAGGCACATACCCCATTGGAAAGGCACATACCCCATTGGAATAAAAAATACCCCATTTGCAAGGAAAATACCCCACTGGCAAAGAAAATACCCCATTTGCAAGGAAAATACCCCATTGGCAAGGAAAATACCCCATTTGCAAGGAAAATACCCCATTGGCAAGGAAAATACCCTACTGGCAAGGAAAATACCCTACTTGCAAGGAAAATACCCCAATTGCAAGGACAATACCCTACTGGCAAGGAAAATATCCCACTGGAAAGGCAAATACCCCATTGGCAAGGCAAATACCCCATTGGCAAGGCAAATACCCAACTGGAAAGGCAAATACCCCACTGGAAAGGCAAATACCCCATTGGCAAGGCAAATACCCAACTGGAAAGGAAAATACCCCACTGGAAAGGAAAATACCCCATTGGAATGGAAAGCACCCCACTGGAAAGCCAATACCCCATTGGAACCAAGGTGATGAATCCACTTACTGACAATCATTACATGAGGCATGAAACACAGTTTATAAACAAACATACAGGTAATCTCACTGAAACACTGGATAATACTTGAATATCACACTAGACCAAGTAGCACACAATGCTCTTCATGGTACTTATTAATGTCCCATTTGTTATACAATGACATTCCAAATGGTTATCATTCAGAGGGATGAGTACCCAGGTGGTAAATTTGGATTCGTTCCAGCCCTACCCCTAATACTTTACAGAGTCATAGCAACCTTATCCCATGACAGTCTCGGGAAGATGTGTTTGCCTACAACTAAAGCGTCAAATAGCGTGAATGTAGACTTTGAAACAGGTGCCAAAATTGATGAACTATACACTAATGAAGCAAACTAAGTTGGCACCCCATGAAAAGGTAAACAGACATCTGCCAAACAAGGCTCAAGATGGCTCTGAGAGACTCAAACATGATTAAAGGTGGTAATGTATGGAAACCTGACTTCTTTTCATCTCTGTGGACACCTTGATCAGTGTGAATATTTATCACTGATTCTGAGTGTGTCTGCAAATTACCTCCAATCACCTCACAATAATGTGATTAAATCTCCACTACCTTTCTAACTTACTCAGCCTAAATTACACTACCATATTCTGGGGTAAGTTGCAAAAATAATTTACTATTCTTCATGTCAGATGGTTTCACAGCAGACGTAAGGGTCATGGCATCACTAAGTTCGGTTTCAATCGTTTACTCACTCTGCACTCTCATGTAGTCTTCGTGTTGGGGGCACGGGTGGCCCAATAGTCAAAAGGGTGGCAATATGCTGGGCAGAGTTGAATCCCTTGGAGATGCCAGAAACCTATGACACTGGGGTCGAATCCTGGTTCGCCCCGATTGTTTCTAGGTTTGTCAGCACCATACCCATGTTCATGGGTTTCACAGAAGGAATAAATGTCTGAGACCTGCATCACTTCAGGCTCTCCTCCCACATTAAGCTGACATGCTGTTTTATAATTGTAATACTGTTCAAAGCATCCTTAAAACCCAACTCACTCACTCACTCCCTGATTGTCTAAAATTGACAGCTTCTACATTTTAGCAAGATTTTGGTATCACTTAACATATGTATTATCAAATGAGTCAAAACACAATTTGTCACACACTTCATTAAGACTGTATATACATCAGTGCCAGAAAGAAGCGCACAAAAACATGCACATCTCCCATTGTGTGTATGAATGTGTAGAATTCAACAATATCAATTTCAAAGCATGTCATCAAACATGGCTTCACAAAATATGTGTGAACTAGAACCCAGTTTTACTCTGAGCAGCAGCCCATGCACTGTCTACTGGGCCAATGACAGCCTTAAAAGTTCTTTTCTCTTGAGACTAGTTCAGGGGATTAGTGGAAACCTTACTTAACTAAGTTCACAGAGTTAGTAGCGAGATCCGCTTGAATGAGACAAAAATGTTTCTTTGGTTTACATTTTCTGGGTTTTTTTCATATTCAATTTCAATTTGTAGCAAAATTGTATCATTGAACTGGTTCAGAATTATTCCTCAAATGCTATTAGTCAACGTGGACTACCATCATTGGATTTTTAAGAGCGGTCGCTTGTCATGCCGAAGACCCGGGTTCGATTCCCCATATGGGTACAATGTGTGAAGCCCATTTCTGGTGTCCCCCACCATGATATTGCTGGAATATTGCTGGAATATTGCTAAAAGGGGTGTAAAACCATACTCACTCACCCCCCAGCACAATTTGTTAGTATCATGCAAGCAGAGTCGCATGAATGTTGACGTCTGCCATGTAACACTTGTCTAACTAGTAGCTAGTATTATCTGCTGATATGGAGGCCACACTGACTTCCAACGTGACATATTGACCCTCATCTCCCACAGTTGGATGCCTCACCTCGTCTGCCTGATCAGTTTCCTTGATCACCCATGACTTACAGCCCACGAATGTTAACTGCCCTAACTACATCATTAGTGCAGAGAGTGCACGTACGTCTGTGACAACAGCAGGACACTGTGACAGCCATGATGCACAACACAGTCTTGGTCAATGGAGGATTGCAAGGAGACCAGAAGGACATCCGTAGGCTGTAGTATACATACAGTACATAATGGCATTAATGTCAGCACCAGTGTCTGTGCCTCGCATTAATAAAGTGATGCATTACTCTCTAGACATTCAAATGAAATGCTATCACCCCACACCGTATCATGGAATTCTACAGTCTTAGCGTTGTCATTTGCTGGTTAGGTATAATGTTCAAAGGTAGGGCTATTCACATTAATTACACATTTTAGTTGAGTTGGTACAAGAGTGAGTGAGTGAGTTTGGTTTTACGCCACTTTTAGCAATATTCCAGCAATATCACGGCAGGGGACACCAGAAATAGGCTTCACACATTGTACCCATGTTGGGAATCGAACCCAGGTCTTCGACGTGACGAGCGAAGGCTTTAACCACTAGGCTACCCGACCGCTGAGTTGGTACAAGAACACTGTATGTTCCTCAAGATTGATGTATGCAGCTTGAAAGTTGTTCTTCCAAGAGACCTAATTTGCATATCTATCAAATCAGGGTACCAATTTATCAGATTGGTTTACAGAATGGATAACACGAACCTTGTATGACAAACTTACTTGTTGAGTTCCAGCATTGTCAGCTCTATTTCTGTGCCACCCATGGGGTCGTCATGCATGCCTCGATCATAGTCAAACACCTTGATCTGCACAGGTTTGTAAATGTCTTCAATTGCAACAGAAAAACTCTCATCCCATTTTGGGTTAAGATTCTTAAAGACAGTCCGACTTTTGAACACTTGTTTTCCCCCGACCTTGAACTTGACATATGGGTCACTTGTACCTGCAAGACAGAAATACACTTCAGCATACAATCTGGGTGACAGGGCCAATAGGTAAGGTGCTCGCTCATCATGAACTGGTTCAGAGTTCAGTGTATGCTGTCTTCTTGTTGGTCCAAGTCATTCAGCGCAACGCTATACAAACAAGAGTCATCAGAAGATGACAAATCCCCCCGGCCCCTACAAATTCGAAAGAATAAATTATCTCCCTGTTAAGTCCACTTGATGAAGAATTTCTATCTGATCTGTTTGTCAGTATACAAGATTAGTTATTGAGCTATCAAAACAATACCATGGAATTGGGATTCGGAACTTTATATTTCTATGTCAGGTACACACCAACATGAGCAGTCAAAGTCAAACTTGTTGCCAGGGAAATGGAAAAAAATATAAATTCTAACAATCCCTAAATAGCAAAAGGCACCAGCTGACAAACTTTTCATATGTATGCATAGTTTCAAGGAAGAATACCTATTAGTTTTAAAGATGTAGTCAAAGTGGAGTCTATGTCCAACTTCTTTCCATAAAAATTATAAAAAATAAAAATTCGATAAATCCCAAAATATCAAAAGGCACCACTTCAGTATGTGACTGATAGATTTGCCAAGTTTCGTTCAAATACACAATAACAATATAGCATCAGAATAGGACATATCTGGCAACAAAACCAAAGTACAGTACTGTTCAAATAGATGTTCCCTCAGTAATGATTGGAGTACAAGAGTAGGACATTTGGTTTACTTGTCAAACAAAAATCTTTTCTGATAGCGCCATGAATTTCCTGCCCTGGTCAGGACCAATGGGGTGTTTATTTTGAACAGTAGTGTACTTGATTTATTGGAATAACTCTACTTTGCATGACATATAACATACATGTTTTAATGTAATAAGCATGTGCTTGAAATACTGACTTATAGTATGTGTTACTTTAGTATTTTAGTGACATTGACGTCATGGGTAAGTAACCTGCAATACATTCATTTATTTTCATTATTTTAGACAACTTTGATGAATGTTGGCACAGACATTGCGAAATCAATATTTTACCATGTCTATCTTTCTCAAATATAGATCAATTTCAAGAAATCAATAAGAAACCATAGAACTAAATTGTATAAAACTTAATGAGAACTGCCTTTTTTAAATCAGTGCCGAATGAGGATCTTTTTATCATCTGAGCAGAAAGAAATTTATAAATGAAGCAAAGAGATGACATAAACTTACACAAAATCAATACGTGGACCTTGACTGACTGGAATCACTCAACCAAAATAAGAACTCTGTTCATTCTGAAATGAATGATTGCTTCCCAAACTGGCATTGAAGAAGCTTAACCTACTTGGGTATCAGGTCAATAATCTATTTACAGGTCAGCTAATCAAGAAATAGCTTGAACAAATCTTGAAGCCCTTAACGACCCGATGGTTCCTCCAGGTGGCAATTGTACACAGTCCTCGCGAAGCTGATTGGATAGATGTCCACATGCTCAAGAGGATCAGATATCAATATAGACCGGACCTACCAACTCATGTCATTAGTAACAGTCACAGCACCAACATGTCTTTAGGACAGTGTGTGTGTGTGTGTGTGTGTGTGTGTTTTTGTGTGTGTGTTTTTGTGTGTGTGTGTGTTTGTGTGTGTGTGTGTGTGTGTGTGTGTGTGTGTGTGTGTGTGTGTGTGTTTTTGTGTGTGTGTGTGTGTGTGTGTGTGTGTGTGTGTTTTTGTGTGTGTGTGTGTGTGTGTGTTTTTGTGTGTGTGTGGCTGTGTGTGTGTTTCTGCCTGTGTGTGTGTCTGCCTGTGTGTGTGGCTGTGTGTGTCTGCCTCTGTGTGTGTGTTTCTTTGTGTATGTGTGCATGTGTCTGCCTCTGTGTGTGTGTGTCTCTGTGTGTCTCTGCCTGGGTGTGTGTGGCTGTGTGTCTGCCTCTGTGTGTCTCTCTGAGTGTGTCTGCCTGTGTGTGTGGCTGTGTGTATGTGTGTGTCTGCCTGTGTGTGTGTCTCTGTGTGTGTGTGTGTCTGCCTTTGTGTGTCTGTGCCTCTGTGTGTGTCTGCCTGTGTGTGTGGCTGTGTGTGTGTGCCTGTGTGCATGTGTGTGTCTGCCTGTGTGTGTGTGCCTCTGTGTTTGTCTACCTGTGTGTGTGTGGCTGTGTGTGTCTGCCTCTGTGTGTGTGTCTGTGTGTATGTGTGTGTCTGCCTCTGTGTGTCTGCCTGCGTGTGTGGCTGAGTGTGTCTGCCTCTCTGTGTGTGTCTGTGTGGCTGTGTGTGTGTGTCTGCCTGTGTGTGTGTGAGTGGTTTCATAGTGTTAGCCCACTGAGATACCATAGCACAGTTTATGATGAAGACCCTACTACGACACAGTATACCACTATTGACCACTAAATTAACTACACTAGATTGACTTAATTGCCTAGAGTCACCATTTAATCACCAACTAGAGCCACCACGTAGTTACCAACTTAGGCCACAACATAGTTGTAGACTATTATGGAAACAAAGTATAACATTTACCAATGAACAAGCTACAATCAAGGCTTTTCTAAACTGTAAGTCTACTAAACCTAGTTGGATTACACTGCACATCATTTTGGGCTTTCCTCCCACATAGCTTGCATGCTGTGTTAAGGTGAAACAAGGTGTTATACCCAACCCACTACTGACATTACTTTAGAGGAAATATGGTATGTTCACAAGTGAAAAAATCCACTTGAAGGTGACTTGAAAACAATAACCTGTACACCACAAGGCCCTCACAGATACATATCAGATGACTTTGATCAGAAGCTAATCTTAAATTTTTTTCAAATTTCAATCCTATATCATATGTTAAATGTCAGTATCTTCAAGGCTATGTCTAATTGAAGAACTCTCTGAGATTTTGAGAACACTATTATTGAAGCAAATAATTCTGATTCACTGACTCCCAATAGATTCAAATTACCAATTCCATCGAAATCATCTGTGTGGACATGTTCAATACAAATTCGTACAATAACTTAAAAGCTGATAACAAAATAATATTGGGGTTTTAAATATAATTGAAATGTGTACATGAATTCCTGGAGGTAACCTGACATCATGATGTCACTGCTTTTAACTTAAAAAACTTTAAAAAACCCATTAGATGAAAATATCAAATGTTCAATAAAAGCTATAATTACTCTACTAAACGCAGAGTCCATTTTACAATTCCGACTATATCAGGAGCTGATGTTTCTGTATCACTATCAAATTGTGTTGATACCAGGCGTTCGCAAAAATGTAAGCATATCCTGCCCCACCGACCACACTCATCACAAATACATGCAAAGGCAAGTAAAGTGTCCACTTGAAAAAACAAGGGAACATATGGTTCAAGTCAAAACTGGGAATTGCATCAGACATCATTGTCATTGATCTGTCAAATTTGAAAATGTCCTCCACATGTCTACCATAAAACTGGTTGAAAGCTTTACTGAGGCCTTGAATGTTGTAACCTTGATCAAACAATTTTATGTAAGAGTTGGATGACGCTTAGGAAATCTTTGTAGAAAGAACATGCTCGATCGTTCCTCAAAAGTTGTGAAATGTAAACACCAAAGGCTGGAGCTTCTGACATATTGTTCGACATAAAGGGAAAATCGACTATTGGAAAGTTGAAGTCATCTCTCCTGTCATGCAAGCCTTGTGGAGATTGTTTTGGCACGTTAAATCTTTACACAAACATCTAAATATGAAACAGATGAGATGGATTCACAGGTCTCTTTTATTTCTAGATCAGATGGGTAAACCAGTAGAAGGGAATTGGCTATTTAATTATTATTGACCAATATAAGATCATTGATATACCTGAAGCTTAAGTTAAATTTGGCCAATTCCCTTGTTTTGAAGTTGCCAATGCGGGCAGAAATTGATATAACACTTCCATTATTATACCACCGGGGTGCATCATGTCCACCTCCAGGGTTGAAAATCCATATCTCCCTTGAAGAGGGCACAAACCTATACATGTCTCTTCCTGCCTACAACCCAAGTTTTGTAAGCTTGCTGATCAAATCTTTAGAGAGGCTCCATTTTCAAAGAAATCCACTTGGCAGGCACAGAATCCATAAAGCCTTGGCTGGAAGCTATTAAAGTTTTATTCTAACAAAAATTCTAAACCTTTCCTCAGCTCTCCACTAAAACTGTTCTAAGCTTGTACCCTGCAACAAGACGTCTCAAAGGGGAGATTGATTGGAAGGACACATTACTCCATAAAATGGCAGTAAATGTCATACTCCTCAACAGACTGAAATGAATATAAACTTCCCATCACTCAAGATTAGAGAGTTGTTCACTGTAAGGAACCAAGTTCCACTTCATATAGTCCGAATCTGGAACTGCAATGACTAGTCTAAACCTTCAAGTGCATATAGACTCTTAGTGGTAGCTAATGCAATTTGTATATTATTGAGTTGCCTTTGCAAGTGTTTGTGATATGGGTGCCACTTGGGGAGAGGAAGGAGAGAGAGGAGGATATGCTCACCTGGTGTCATCACTTTTTGAGAGTGATTCATACACACATCTCATGATATAGTCGGAATCATACAATGAGCTGTTTTGGGCAGAGATTTCTTATGAATATGGAAAGGAATATGGAAAGGATTTTGTCACTTTTATTTATTGATATAAAGTACATAATTATGAACTGATGATCGCAACTCAAACTACAAATGTTGGCCATGTAGATCCTAGAATGATTTGTTCCTTCAAGAAAAAAATCATGATTCTAAGGCCGATCATAGCTTTAGGACCAACCATTCAATATCTTGGGGAGGAAGAGAGCAGACATCAGATTTTTTAGATCTAATATTCATTCAGTCAAAGCTGTAAAATACATGTACACACTTTTTCTCTGAAGGCAGAAGCCAAATAATATTTTTTAACCACAATACATAATTATTCATGATATCTATCATGTCGAGTGAACCATTTTGTTGTTCTGTAAACCTACAGCCATCTTTGCCTCTTGTATTGTAGGTGCTATCTCAAAGTATCCTTATGAAAGGCGCTACTTTATAGTGAAACCTGTCGAGAGGTTTTACATTTGAATGGTAAGACCTGCTTGGAGGTTTCACAGTTGGCTTGTTAAAGCAGCCTTTTAACATGTATCCAATGTTGATTTTGACTGGTTAAAAATTCAATCTTACATGTGATGACTTCATTTGTCAGCATGTTGCACATGGTCTCTCTCACGCCAGCAGTCATTGAATTCGTTTTATACAGTGACCACTGTATTGTTCACTAGGTTTCCCAATGTTTTTTTATTCATTCTGGTATTTCTTGCATTAAGACGGTTTGCACATCAGTTAAAACACTCCTTGGTTTGGGCTGAAAATAGAAATCCTTGACCTTGGGCTTCCCCCTCACTTGAGGTTTTACACTTTTCAATCAACCCCGAGGAGGAGTGCTCCAACTATACCATGAAACTCTGAGGACAAATTACTTCCAGCATTTCCAAGCCCTTCCCCCCACCTCCATATATTTATTTTATGATTTGTGCCTTAATATTGTTGGGGAGCATTCAGAACATAATGCAGTCTCACAGCCTGCTGATTTGCTGATTTTCAGCTTGGAAACTTGATATGAGCTTGTTCTCTTCTCCTTTTCTTATGCTTGTCAAGAAAATCATTAAAAACTTATTGGGCAGGTCAATCGAAGATTAACAGCATGAGCAGTTACTGGTGATGCATGTAATCATGATTAGCACATTTCAGGATGAGAAGTGGTGTTCAGCCCAACTCACTCTCTCACTTAAGCCCCTCATGGTTCACCGATGTAAGAGATAATGTTCTCCAACTGTAGAATTACCTCGCAAACTGCTCAATTCTTAAGGTCACCTGAAGATCATTTGAAAGGTTTGGGTTTAAGGAGTTGCCTGAACATGTTATATCAGAGCTACTTTACTGAAAAACATTAAGTTGTCACTCACAGTCAACCATACCAATATTTATCATAATTGTTTTGTAATTCTCCATGAATAATATATTATTAATCATATTCCTTAAATCTTACATCATATTCTATATATTCTATGAATCTGATATTATATTCTATATATTCCATGAATCTTATATTATATTCATCATATTCCATGAATCTTGCGTTATATTCATTATATTTCATGAATCTTATATTATATTCATCATATTCCATTAATCTTATATCATATTCTATATATTCCATGAATCTTATACTATATTCATCATATTCCATGAATCTTATGTTATATTCATCATTTTTCATGAATCTTATGTTATATTCATTATATTTCATGAATCTTATATTATATTCATCATATTCCATTATTCTTATATCATATTCTATATATTCCATGAATCTTATACTATATTCATCATATTCCATGAATCTTATGTTATATTCATTATATTTCATGAATCTTATATTACATTAATCATATTCCATTAATCGTATATAATATTCATTATATTCCATGAATCTTATGTTATAGTCATCATATTCCATGAATCTTATATTTATCCTTTCTTAGATGAATCTTATATCATTTATCACATACTATATATCATATTCATCACATTCCATGAATCTCATATTATATATGTTATTCCATGAAGGTAATACTGTTGATAAACACTGTAGGACAAGTACAATCAGTTGGATGGCGACTCACCACAACTGTCCCTGATGACGAGATCCCGTCCCTCCACCAGCTGTACTTCTAACATGAAGAAAGGATGTTCCATGAACACATTATGACGCTGACGTGCTGTTGGCTCCTGAAAACAGAACAGCAATGATACATTGCAGGAATTCAAAATACTTAAACTTAAATAATTGTTGACACCCAGTGTCACTGCAGCTTCTACTGCACACATTTTGTGTGAAAAGCTGGATGGCCTGGGATTATTAATTACAGTGAATGTGACTTCATGACCTGGCGCTGCATCTAAACCCCCCATGGTTGACATAAGAGAACACCAGAATAATCACAATCATAAAAGCACTACAAAAGATATGTAATATCTGCTATCTGAAATGTACACATGCAATATACTTCCAGTTCAATAGGAAACCGGGTGATAAAGTCGTCTTAGGTGCCTGATTCGCTGTGAAGAGTTGTGTCCCTTGGGCACAGCAGACACCAGTGATTGTTGGTTCAAATCCCGGGTCAATCCAATTATGTTTCTGGGATTTTCAATCCCATACCCGTGCCTATGGCTTTTACAAAGCGTTTAATGTCTGAGACCTGCATCACTTCAGGCTTTCATCTTACACCAAGCTGACACGCTGTGATGTAACTGGAACACTGTTCAAATTGTGAATGCAAATTATTACATCTGACATAAAATTTTAACATCTAAATTATTTGATTTTAATTAAAGAACAAAAACCTTCCATTTTCATATTTCAAAGCACGACCCTGTGGGGACCAGGGTCAGAATTGGTCCCAAACACTCTAGCATTTTTCGTAACAGGCAACACAATTGCATCAATGGATTGCATGTCAATGTACCCCAACAGCGAGGAATGTTGCTCATAATATCAACCACTGGTTTGTAGTGGTTTTCTGATTAATTTGACCTAAACAAAGAATGATTGGAAGCTACAAATGACCAAGCAACCGAACGCAAATTTCAACAACGGAACACAAAAATTTTGCCGTCTCAACCCTGAGATAGGTTTGTTTCCTGAAAAGGTTTATCCACTACTTACTTCTTAGTACTTAGTATGGTATAAAGGGGAGAAAGAATAAAGCCATTGTCTTTTTAAAAAAAAGTACTGAAGTAAGTGATTGCTTGTTTTTGTCATCTAGTTTTACTGAACTTAACACTGAAAAACAGCAAAATGATGCTGACCGATTAATCTTGACGATCATTGATTTGGGATGATCCAACCATCAATCATCATTTTACATCCATTTTCATCCACTACTGATCTGCGTGCCCTGGGCTAATATAGTTACAGGTCACAGTGACCTAGCTGAAATGTTGCTGATAACAATTTAGGTCAATGAGTTGACTACCTGGTCCATTAAGTAGCATGCTATGAACAGCATAAGTTACTGGAGATGTCTTCTAGCCAGAATACCCACATTGTAGCAAATATATAAACATTATCAGCCAATAAGAAAATATAAACCTGGTCAGTTTCTCTTGGAATATAAACTTTATCAGCCAATTTGAAAATATATAGACCTTATCATTCACTCAGAATAAATAAACTTTATCAGCCGATCAGAAAGTATATAAACTTTATCAGCTGACCAGAAAATATATAAACTTTATCAGCTGACCAGAAAATATATAAACTTTATCAGCCGACCAGAAAATATATAAACTTTATCAGCTGACCAGAAATTATAAACTTTATCAGCTGACCAGAAAATATAAAATATATCAGCCAATCTGGAAATATAAACTTCATCAGCCACTTAGCAAATGTAAACCTTTTCAGCCGCTCTGAATATGAAGTTTTTCAGGTATTTAGAAAATCCATGATACCAACATGACCCATGGCGTCTGCCTATATTTACATGCTGTACAAAGAGATTCTTCATCCTTTGTGAAGCATCTCTTGTAAACAAATCCACAAGAACTCAATCAACACAACTATTAGCAACAGGAACAGTTGATTTCCTTAAACAAACAGAACAAAACCTCTCCAAATGCATGTATACATTTATGACATATTTTTGACACATCATTGATATTGATCAGCTTGTACCATGTTTATTCAGCCAGGGAAGCTCTTTTGTTTCCAACACATGACTAGTTTAATGCACCCGCGCCATCACTAATCCATATGCAATCCATTGACCTGTCACATACAAAGAATCTCGCTTCCGACAATAGGCAGCCAACTGTTGACACAATCAACGTTTTTGCACTTCCCACTTCGATTTTCAATTCATGAATAAACATTACACGTGTTCCCTTATCTTTGGGAATCTAGACTTGCACAAGTAATTGAACTGTTGAAGAAAATCAGTGGTAACATGAAACAGAGATAAATTGTGTTCTTGCGGAGTCATCTCTGATGAGGCATTGAATAATTCAGCCTTTGAGAATAATCGACTGGTAAAGTTAACCGCTTTGTTAGGGCTTGATTATTGTTTTTTATCACATAACCTTTCTACAAAAACCTCTAATTTCTGGTGTCCTTTCAAACTTTTATAAATATTATGTACTATTTGACATCAATTTCCTACAAAAACACATGTCTTAATCTAATGGCGTGATATAACTGGGTAATTGCAGACTGATGCATAAACACAAACTAACATAAAATAAACTAATGTGCCAAAAGATGGTGCCAAATCCTCAAGATATCGTAAGCTTAACTCTAGTTTCTATCTTAACCCAAAACAAACAGAGAGCAGATCCCCAAGATCGGAACTCACTCTTGCAGGATCAGACTACAACAGACGGAAGCTCAAGAAGTGTGCTTGTCACGGATTGCAGGCCATCCCATCTTAAAGTGGAATAAGTTATCAAGCACAACTGGCACATCCCCTCGGGGATCTGGAGTGCAGAGGTGTTCAAAGACCCTTGACTCACTGTCTATCACAGAAACCCTATGTCACGGGACACACTCAGTGGAGCTAAAATCAATTTCCCACCACAAGAAGCTCAACCTTGCAAAATGGTATTTACATCCACAACAGAATGTAATACACCGGATTGTTATATCTGCAAACACAAATGCAGACTTCATTCTATTACTAGTTACTGAACTGGAAAAACCTTCCGATCCAACAACACATTGAGGGTGACATGTCCACCGTGGTTTACAGGATCTATTGTAAACAACAACACATTGATGGTGACATGTCCATCGTGGTTTACAGGATCTATTGTAAACAGTGTAATGAGCAGTACGTTGGTGAAACTAACCCCATAGTTGGAAAACAAATCAAGGAGCTTTTTGCTGATATCAAACATGATAGAGTAACACTTCAGCCTGTTCAACCACTCATTTGGGTTCTCACGTTAAGGCTTTTGGGCATCCTAATCCAATCCTAAACCTGGATCTAATTCTTAACCTAGATCCCATCCTAAACCAGGATCCAATCTTAAAACAGGATCCACTCTTAAACTTGGATCCCATCCTAAACCTGGATCCTTAACCTGGATCCCATCCTGAACCTGGGTCCAATCTTAAACCAGGATCCAATCTTAAATCTGGATCCCATCCAAAAACTGGACCCTATCTTAAATCTGGATCAATTCTTAAATCAGGATCCAATCCTAAACCTGGATCCAATCTTAAATCTGGATCACTTCTTAAACCAGAATCCAATCCTAAACCAGGATCCCATCCAAAACCTAGATCCAATCCTAAACCTAGGCCTAACCCAGTAGGACACTACACAGCTCAGACTAATCATCAAATGTTCATGGATCCACAACCCCCCAAATGTACCCTCAGGGATCAGTGATATCATGTCACCTTGTGACTCCCAAACCCCTCTTTTCTCAAACTTAAACTAACACCCAGACGCCCAGTAATATAGATCATACATACCTACGTTGATACTTGAACCCCGAAGGCAATTTATGCTGAAAATCCCAAGTATAGAGCAACAACATACCAGACTGTTTCCCATGTAACCTCACCCAGTCTTTAGTCATGTGACTACTCTAATTCATCTTTGTGATCAAACGATGCTGAACGTAAAAATTGGAAAAATAACCTGCAATATTTTAAAACATTTTTCAAGATTTAATTACCACTTGAGAATATTCTGCCTGTTTTTTTATCAACCATATCAAAGGATCATATAAAACTAAATCGCTTTATTAATCATTTCTGCAATGCAAATGAGACCCCTTGATGTATGTGAACCTTCATGTGCATTGATGAAATACAAATTAAATAGTGAATTTCATATCAATCACTAGCGCGTATTCATACATTTCATGAAATGAAAATAATTCACATTAAATTGACTCCATATGAATTTGCTGAAAGGAACTTAATAGAAAAATAGAATTAAAACAGCACACAGAGATCTAATTGCAATCATTAGGAGAGACTGCAATGGTGTTAATTTGAAAATAACAAAGTTTTATAGAACAGAGTTTGAAAAACAGGAGCAGTCTTGCATTAACATCAGCACTGGCACATTTCTATGTGAGACCCTCTGGTTTCTACAGCAATCCTAGCATTATGACCATCGTAACTGTTACACATACCTGTAGACCATCGTAACTGTTACACATACCTGTAGACCATCGTAACTGTTACACATACCTGTAGACCATCGTAACTGTTACACATACCTATAGACCATCGTAACTGTTACACATACCTGTAGACCATCGTAACTGTTACACATACCTGTAGACCATCGTAACTGTTACACATACCTGTAGGGTGGCCACAGCACTGAGACTGATTAGTAAAATGAAACATTTCACCCTTACTATGAAATCTATAACATCAACGCCAGGGAATAGCTAGTCTTCATTATCTGCCGAAACAGATTCCATTGGGCATATTACGAAATGTTTCAGGATATTGCAAGCGATCACAGACACACTCCTCATATCCTGTAAGGTGACCCAGATTAACATGCATTCAGAAGTACTCAGAACAAGTTATAGGGTTCTGTGAAAATCACTTAACTAAATACTAAGTCCAAATGACAAAAGCATTTAAATAGATTATAGAAAATACTTTTCACATGCTTTTATCCATGTTGAAGAGTGTCGTATATTGTGTCTGCCTTGGGTAATAATGCAGTCTCTCTGTAGATTCAGCTGAACATACTGAG